GCGACCAGGCGGCCAGGGGCGCCGAGAGCCGTCAGGTTCCCGCAGCCACCGATTGGCCACTCACCAAACCGCCGTCTCTCTCTACATGTTGGAAATGAAATGTCTCTGGACAAACATACAGCTTAGGCTATTATATTCGCAAAATTAGCCATTTCCTACCCTCATCCCGCAAAACATGTGTTGCCTACATGTGCACTTATGAAATCATAGTAAAAAAATGTCATATTATGATTCTCACATACACTCACGCTTACACACACGCGTCTCACACACTCACACAATCACACACACTCACGCACACTCATACAACTCTCACACATCTCACATCTCACATACACTCACACACACAAACTCTCACACATACAGTCATGATACACTCATGCACACACACACATTCACACACTCATACAACTCTCTCATATATGTCACATGCTCACACACACATACTCTCACACACTCACACACACAGTCATGGCACACTCATACACTCATGCACACTCACACACACTCACCTACCCATCTGCACATACTCTCTCACACACTCATACAACTCTCACACACATTTCACATGCATGCACACACACACACACACCCTCACACACAGTCATGGACACTCACACACTATGCACACTCACACACACTCACATACCATCCATGCACATTCTCTCACATATACTCATACAACTCACACACACTCACCTCTCACACACACACACAACTCTCACACACTCACACTCTCACACACACAGTCACGGCACACTCACACACACTCACCTACCCATCCGTGCCGTGCATACTCTCTCACACACTCATACAACTTGCACACACATCTCACATGCTCACATGCACACACTCACACACAGTCATAGCACACTCACTCATGCATGCTCACGCACACTCACATACCCATCCATGCACATTCTCTCACACACATTTCACATGCTTGCACACTCATACACACTCTCTTACACGATCACACATACTCTCTCAGGTGCACTCATACAACTCACTCACACACCTCTCACACGCTCACACACATACACGATCACACACATCTCATACACTCACACACACACTCACGCTCACGCTCCTATGACTGACTGCAGTGACCTGAGAAGACATCGATGGACACGCTGCCGTGTCGCCTGCTTTCAATGAGCATTTGGCTGAGAAGCCGTCAGTCTGTTTCCTTGGTCACTACTCAGTGGGGAAAGGCCCTGCGTTCTCTAGGAGGACGGGCCATTGATGGCCATCGTCTGACGTTTTCACCGGAAAGGACTCCTAGCGGGCCCGCGGCCGCGGTGGCTCGTGGGGAGCGGGCTGAGACGCGAGGGGCACAGGAAGCGCGGTGGGGTCTTACGTTTGCAGCCCTCCCAGCGGCCTCGGTCCCAGGGACTTGAGCAAGGGCTCCGGCCGCATGGCCACGGTGGGCGACGTTTTGGGGCTGGAGTCGGACTCCCCGCTGTCCTCGTCGCCCATGGCCTTGATGTAGCTGCCGCTCCGCATCCTCCGGCAGGGGATCTCCTCGTCCTTGCCCCCGGGCGGGTACCCGGCCCACTCGTCCTGAGGCACCTGGGGAGAGAGACACGTCAGCCGCACACCGAGGCCCGGCCGGCTCCACGGGAGCGAGCGCTCCGGAGGCGCGGAGACACGGCGCTTCTATTTATTTTCATGATGTTCACCGATTTCAGAGAGAAGAGAGGGAGGGAGAGGAACACCAGTGAGAATCACTGACCCGCTGCCTCCTGCCCGCCCCTGCGGGGGACCAAGCCCGCAACCCGGGCCTGTGCCCCGACCGGGAATCGAACCCTGACCTCCTGGTTCATGGGCCGGCGCTCAACCACTGAGCCTCACCGCCGGGCTTACGGCTCTTGAGGGTCATTCATCGTTGAACATTAGGCACGCAGACCTGTCGGTGCCCCCGGGCCGGCCCTGAACCCTGAACGGACATGAGCAGGAAGTGACTGCTTTTTCCCATCACAAAGCGCTAGAGGAACATCCCGGGAAAGTGAGGACCTGCCAGAGAAGTGAGTGAGGACGCCCTCCGGGACCCGGAAAACCACGGGTAACGGTTAGGCTGCGTCCTTCCGGACGGGTGCCGGGGCGACCCGAGAGCTGGAGGGGAAGTTACCCATGTGGGGCAGGAGGACGCAGCAGACATGGAAGAGGAAGGAGGTGGCGCATGGCACCTGGGGGTCCCCACGCGGGGTCCCACCTTCCTGCCCCAGAAGCCCCTGCGGCGGGCGCCCACCCAATCAGGTGACAGTCATTGAAGGTGACCTTTGACGCTTGGCCCGCTGCTGGGAAACAGGAAAACAAGGGCCTTTTCTGGGAACAAGTGGAACAAATTCATTCTCTGACTCGCCCATTGTCCGCTCGGACCTCAGACGCGTACGGCGTCTTCCTCTGATGCCAGCGCCGCCTTCTGTGCCAGGTGACCCTGAAAAGCACCCTTTGTCTGCAGTGTGGCGGGCCTGGGGAGCGTTACGCTGAGCAGAGCCAGCCAGTCAGACCACAACAGGCATTGCACAATCACACACACCTGTGGGATCTCACCAACAACATAATCCGATGAACAAAACCAGATCCAGAGCCCTGGATGGTGTGGCTCAGCGGATAGTGCACAGGCCTGTGGACTGAAGGGTCCCGGGTTTGATTCCAGCCAAGGGCACTTGCCCAGGTTGTGGGCTCGATCCCCAGTGTGGGGCGTGCAGGAGGCAGCCGATCTATGGTTCTCTCTCATCATGGATGTTTCCACCTCTCTCCCTCTCCCTTCCTCTCTGAAATAAAAAATATATATAAAAAAGAAA